ACATATATATATATATATATATGATATATAATATTCGGTAATCAAAGTATAATAATACTAATAAGGAACTTATAATTTCACTCTACAGGCTGTTTCATGCACTAGGCAATCTTCAGGAGTGAAGGGAATTTCAAATTTGACGTGTATATTTAGAGTTGGGCCGGTGTAGATGCAAATTAGGTATTATGTGTTTTTGAGTAGGAATTTGGCACGGTGTCTGCATTTTGAAAGGCCTATATAGGCCTATATATACAGGTACACACATACACACACACACACACACACACACACATATATATATATATATATATGATATATAATATTCGGTAATCAAAGTTGGTTAAACTAAGATACAATTAAAAAGTGTGAAATATACAACATAAGGAACGCTCAATAAGAGGTTCCAGACCAAGTGCATAAACCAACAATCAGATGAGCGGAACAAACTTACCAGCATAGAAATCAATTTTTTCGTCCCTTATCTGTTGAGCTGTCTTGGTTTCGGGATATTTGGGTTCGAATGGCATCATGTGGGATATTGCCGCGAGAATCTCGAGACCATCTAGCTTAGTGTCATTATCTAAGTCATGTTGCCTAAAACACAATAAAACAGCAAATGGTTATTAGTAATAGGCCTCAAAATTACAATTACCCCGACCTGACAAAAACAGAATAAGTCAACACACCGAGAGAATTTTCAAAAAGTAGTATTGGTGCACAAATTATATCATAGTACTACTACTATTAGTGCAAAAATAAGGTAATAACCAATTACCCACTGAATACAGAGAAAAAGGTTGCATGTCTAGCCTATTTCTAAGAAGGTAAATATACCTGAGAGCAAAGCCACCCCTATTTAGAACAACTACGCACAAATACAGGCATAAGAAACGCTCAATCAGATGAGCGGAACAAACTTACCAGAGAAGAAGTCCATTTTTTGTCCCTTATCAATAAAACAGCATACGTGAATAGTTGTAAGTCCCAAAACCATAATTAAGCAAACCTGACAAAAATAGAATTTGTCAATACACCAAGAGAATTTTCAAAAAGTGTACAGTTTTCGTGCACAAAGTATGTAAAATGCAAAGTGCAAAATAAGCTAATAATTATGCCAATTTGAAAATAAATGCACAGAGAAAAAATAGAAAATTTGCAAGCGTATCATGCTGGCAATTAAAGTTGTTAAACTGGCCCGCAACCCCCCCCCCATCCTCGGATTCAGGATACAGGGGTCCCGGAACAGATGCCGACAACCTGTTGAGCCACAAGATTTAAAGTTAGTATGGAGATAGTCATAAGATGGAGCAAGTGAAGACATTTTTGAATTATGACATCTCTAGACAGTGGCGGCTTAACTAGTGTCCGAGGAGCCCAGGTTCGAGCGTAGCTCTGGGTTGACGCATATAAATTGGTCAAAGTCGATCAGGCTAACAAATTTCTCTTTACTGAAATACTGTTATCTATAGAAAAACCATCCCTCACTGAACAACAACCCTATATTTCTGAGCTTAGACTTCGGGGCCAGAAAAAATTATGAAAGCGAATTACTTACAATTTATTACTATTTTACTGAAATAATCCGTAGTACCCTGTCAAACATCATTCTGGTATTGCTGAGTCTAGATTTCGGGCCGGAATATTGATTAATAATGTATTATTTTTCCATGAGCATGGCCATGAGGTACCATAGAGATGCCGGGGCCGAGCGTGTGTGTTCATGAGGGATATTTTAAAAAGTATGACCTTACAGGGCATTCTATTCTTCCAGTATTTCTCAAGAAAACATTAGGCCTACATTCATTAAAGAGGTAATAGAAGCATATGCTCTGGACATAATCCTAATAAGACAAAGAGTGAGTGGGCTCAATACCTGGTTACAGAGGGTAGTAGCATGATTTAACAAAATGACTAAATCACAATTCGTATATATCCTATTTTAATTTATGCTAATAAGCCAAAATGTAGGTCTACTGCGAAAATAATAAATTGTTCAAAATTTAATTTTTAATTAGAGCCATGAATAGATGAATTGAGTCCAAGCTGGAATGAAAGGGAAAGGGCCTCCGGTCAGGGTGCAGGGAAAAAGTAATCAGCAGTGCCACGCAGGGGCAGATACAGGATTTAAAGTTGGTGAAAGTGGACTAGTATAGATACCATAGGCCTACCCGTTACAGCTTTACCCATTCCAGTTCAAAAATGGCTCCACTGCCGGGGAGAGCACATGCAGCACTTCCAAAAAATGAATGTCCTTTTAATAAGCTTCAATTGCAAGTAATCGGGGCCGGTTTGACCCGTATACCTTTGTGTGGTGATGACAATTTGGCCGACTCCAACCCCCAAGATTTTTGGGGGGCTTACATTAGTTTATATCTCTAAAAAGTTTCTAAATCAATCGTCATTACTAAAATTAAGGATTGTCAAACAAGTTGAAATGTACATAGGCAACACAAAAACAAGCGATGATGTTCCTTTGATTGAATAATTATAACATTCAAAAAAGTGATGTAAACATTAATAATAAATTCATATTACAGTCAATATTTATTTTAAAAAAGTAATAAACCTGAGAAAAGTGGTTCGGCCAAAGCCGGTGCGGTTAAAAATATAAAATTATTGATAATCAACTCAAGCACTCAACTCAAAATAGTGGAACTCTAGTTCTTCTTTCGTCATGTTGGCAGTGGTGTTGATGTTGACTTCTTCCTGCAGATGCTCTTTAATATGACTATTAAAATATATAGGAATTCATTTCCAATTCAATACAATTTAATTATATAATGCAATGAACTTGCTCATTCTCAGTTTTTGTCATAGAATTACTGTTTGCTGGAATTGCCTTCCTTTGCGTGTGCGTAATGGAAATTTTGATTTCTTTAAAAAATATAAAAATTAATGAATCGTTCATGTAAATATTTTTTGTTATCGCTGCGTGATTATACGTTTTGCTGATGAGTGCTTGTGGATTCCAAACATTTATTGTACAGGAACTCAGTTCCCTTTTGGTGTGCCCGCCTCCCCACTCACCAGCAATCCGTATATGCCTATTCCTTGTTTCAACAGCTTTTCTTTTTCTTTCAATTTTAATGTTTTTTTAATTTTGTATGTTTTTTGTAATTTTGTATAATTTTGTATTATCATAATAATAATAATAATAATAATAATAATAATAATAATAATAATAATAATAATATAATAATAATAATAATAATAATAATAATAATAATAATAATAATAATAATAATAATAATAATAATAATAATAATAATAATAATAATAATAATAATAATAATAATAATAATAATAATAATAATAATGCACTCTTTCGCTTTTCACCTGTAAAGCTTGATTTCCATACAATCGCTACACTGTCACTACAGTTTCCATAGAATCACTCACCCTATCGGCGACAGTCGCCGGCAGTTATCGGGAAGGTTGAACTTGGTTCAATTTTGCCGATTGCTTTGCAGACGAATGAGGGTGCATTGCTAGTTGCCCCGATTCGTCTGCAACACAATCGACAAAGTTGTACCAGGTTCAACCTTCCCTCCAACTGTCGGCGACTGTCGCGATTCTATGGAAATCAACGCCACCAAAGGAATCACCGATAGCGTGTAGCGATTTTGTATGGAAACCAGGCTGTATATAACTTACTCTTGATTTCTAACTATGTTCCCATCGTGAAACTTGGAGTGATCTTCGGCATACATTAGTCGACCCGCGATCAATATTAAGAATGTCACTATTATACCTAAATGAGAAATCTTTCTATGACGCATTGCATCTGTAAATACAAATACATTTTAACTTTTAACAATATTCTGTGGCCACATCGTGGTAGCAGATAAGAAGCAAAAGTCAGGCCTGTAGAAAAGTTTTAAGAAATTTAGATTAACATTATTAAAAATCGTTTAGATGTAGAGTGAGCGAAAATGACACCTTCAAGGGAGGAGACGAGAAAATTATTAGGATGTTAGAATAATGCAATAGGGCCTTAAAAATAAAAATGACATTTCAGAAAAATAAATATGTTGTATTCCTGGAGTTCTCGTACAGAAAATTAATAAGACATGCCAACACAAAATATTCAACAATGTTGCAAGTTTATTTTGAATAAATGACTTTGACTACGATGTAAAGTATTGTCCC